TGTCCCATTCATTCTCCCTCCGGCAGATACCGAGTTGTAAATAGGTTATTTTGTGTGTAAATAACGCATTAAAACTCAGCATTAGCCATGTCTTTTGATAGAGAGGAAATTGTTCCAAATAAATAATCCCAGACAGGAATGTAAAGTAAGCCAGATTTAATAGTGCATGCCTGCTGCAGCCGTGTTAAACATGACTAAAATGATAAACCCCAGAATATACTAATAGTAAACTTTGCTCTGACATCAAAGTAATGAGGCTGTATTTTTACCCAGCTTTGGAAATGTTAAAATTAGTCTTGACAGAGCCAGACATCAGAAAAGTGTTTCAGACATAAACACCATCAATTTAGAAACTTGGTGTTTGTGTCATGGGGTGAGGGGGGAGAAAAGGGGCAGAGAGAGAAAGTTATATCCTGGGACTCGTTAACAACAGGCAGTTAGCACTTTCTAGGACTTTTATTTAATTTTTGGTTTAGGGTCAGAAGAGAAACCCCCCCCTAGTATCTCAACATTTTTTTTTAAAATGACATTATTTATATTATAACAGCCTCTGTAGGCCCCACCGTGCTAGGTACTGGCCATACACATAGTAAAAGAGATAGTCCTTGTGCCCTTGAAGGCGAAGAGACAAATCTGCTCTTGAATACACGAGTGGAACTCCATCAGCCACGTGCAGAGTTTGCCCTTTGCCCCGAAATGCAATACAGACTACAATTTGCAGAAGAGTTCTCTAAATGTGGGTGTTTTAAGTTGTGCTCCCCATATTTCAGGCACTGAAAAAAATCAGACCACGTTTGCAAAACTGGCTGCATATAACTAGTAAATATCACCATTAATAACCCCGGCTCCCCACCAAACACACACTTATTGAAATTGAAAAGGGGTGTTAACTCCTTTGCCAGAATGATTTATGGAAAAAACTGAACATTAGGAGAGTCTTCCCTGATGTCATTTCTGCAAGGTCAATTTCTGAGCAGCTGATCAATGAATTACTATAAAAAAAAGGCAAAGAAGATCTCTCTAGTGTCAGCTTTAGGAGACTAAAATATGAGATGCAGATTGTTAATCTGAAAGAACTCTTCTACTCTGACAGCATCAACAATGCCAATCTTTCTTTCTACAGCCATAACTTAATCTGTTTAAGGCCACAGATGACATTTGGGAGGGGACAAATATTCAGAATAAGTGAAGTAGAAATGGAGATCGGACAAGTTACAAAAATACAGTAAAGCAAGGAGGGTTCCTAAATCAGTTTGTTAATATATTTGATTTATTGCTTCACTTTATTGGGTCTTAATGAAAAGTAAACCCTTGTGATTCTATGCAGATTCTACAAGGAAAAAAACAATGATAGGAGAAATATAGCTCAGTAGCCTTTGATCTAATACAACAGTGACTCAGTAGAATCTGAAAGAACAGGAAGTATATTGTAGAATATGCTTGTCTGGTTCTGGAGAAGACATTTCTGAGTTGCAATGCTAGCAGTGCCTTGTTGCTACTTTATGACATGCTAATATGAAGAATATAACCCATATAGCACCTAGGAGCCATCAAATAAGATAGTAATAATAATGTAATCAATACCATCAAAAGTTTATGCTGGATGAGACATGTAGACATGAGACATGTAGTGGCCTCAACACAGGTTTGGAAGCTAAAAACTCCCAAATTTTAAGCCTGGCTCTAACATTGACACACACCCCCTCCTACACCCCCTACTTCCTGCCAACATGGCCTTATGCAACTTATTTAACCTATTTGCCTCCATTTTCCCTTTTGTAAAATGGGAGTATAAAATAAACACCAACCTTACATTCCTCTGAGTAATGAGTTAATATCTGTTAAGAGCTTTGAGGATGAACATTACTATGCAAGTGCTAATATTATTATGTAGACATAGGAAATCAATATGTATCCTTTCAGTTATGAACTGCTAATCCATAGCTTACACTTACCTACTTTTGCAACATATCTGAAGCATCCTGATTCATTTCACATATATGTGTGTGTGTGTGCGCACACACACACACACTTCCCCAGTCTTTTGGGGAGCTTTTCCATTTCAGAAGCGCTAATTTCATTCTAATCAGATTTCAAAGAAAGGTCTTCAAAAAAGAAAACAACAGTCATATTCTTCGTAAATTTCATTAGCTAGTATCAGATCTGGAGTACACTTTACTGCTAGCCATGTTAGATAATTTATTAGCTTTTCTTCTCACAGTATGATATAGATTTTGCTTTTTACATCTCATTACACAATGCTTTCATCACACTTCTCCTGACATCTTCAAACAATCTTCTTCTTCCTTTTCCACTTCATTTTATTAAGATGAGAAATGTTGAGCTTGTAAATCATTCATTCCAGAGTAGATAGCACAGTGCTAATATGAAACATGTCATATGCATAAAAAGAATCAAGGCTCCAGTATGAGACCAAAAGGGTCAAGAACATCAAGTCTTGGGGCCAGATTCTAGTCTCAGTACACTTGTGTAAATCTGGAGTTACTCCAGATTTAGGCCTCAATTTGGGACAGCATCCCTATTCAGAATAGCACCCAAGCATGTTTTGAACTTTAGCACATGCTTGAGCTTCATTCACATGAATGGGACTTTAGAGTGTGACAAAGTTAAGAATGTGTTTAGTTGCTGTTCTGAACAGGGATGGTCATAAGTAGATGCTTGAATCCTAAATCATGACCTTATGCTAGTTTAACAGAGGTCAGAAGTTACCTCTTGATGGCAGATTTCCAGGAATCATGTAATTTTTGTCCCTAATTTAATCAATTCTGCAAATTTTCCATTCTGCAAATGTAAAAAGTTAAAGTTAACAAGAAAACTAGATCCAAACTCACTCAAAAATTTGGATTTCGCTCCAGAACCTAATTTCACAGCTCAGGCTCATCTCCAAAGTAGTACCTTGGTAAAAGGTTTTCTGGGGTTTTTAACAGACACTTCTTTTATTGACAAGATTTATATAACAGGTGAACAGCTCCAATGTCTTGTGTTCCAAGAGCAGTTTCCTTTGTCTGTACTTGGGAAGCTTTCACAGAAAATACTAGTATGTTTCTTAGACCTAGCCACAGTTTTGGAAAGAATGTATGGGTAAAACACAGATACACACAACTTGTGCTGGAAAGGACTGGGGTCATGGTTCTGTGAACTGAAAACAAGACTAAGTTACCTAGTGGTGCAGGAATCAGAGAAACCCATAGAATAATTTTACTGCCATCTTGAGATGAGAAATTACTATGTATTTAAGGAAGGGGAGGAGAGGGAATCATTTTGAGGTAGAATCTGGCTAGCTATAAGGTATATTTTTAAGAGAAAAAAAGAAGCCTGAAAAGTTTATACAGCTGGGGATGCCACTTGTCACATTCCAAATGGGAGAGTCCCTTCTAAATTTGTCTCTCTGTGCCCTACTGAGAAAGGCCTTTCTGTCCCTGTCCTCAAAAAGAACAGTGGGATGTCCACCCAACCTACGTACCATCCCTAGCCTTCCTCTTCTGCACCAGCTACAAGAAAATATCAGCAAGCTCAAAGCTAGCTTCCCATACTAAAGTTCAGAGCTGGGATACATGAGGTCATTCAGAGATAGATGCAGTTCAACTGACTTGATGAAAAGGAGATACAGTACAACAGGGTTTGTTTTAAAGGAATTTGTTCCTAATAGGCACTGTATCGTTTCTTTAATAGAGCTTAACTCTGAAGATCACTCCTAGAGTTGGTTCCCACATTTAATTTGGGGTCCAAATATTGACTGTGAAAACACAGAACTGGACATCATGAGGCCCTACCACAATATTGACGTACATCTCCAGGGGGACAAATTTGCCACATCCCATGGAGGTGTTTAGATGGTACTGCCCACCAAAACCCCAAGCCCCAGTCTTGTTAGCGTAACAGAGCCCTCTTAAAATTGTCACCACACCAAAAGGTTATTCGCTTCTGTAAGTCCAAGTGCTGCACTTTGCAGGCCTACTGGGACCTGGAGGCAGCTCGTCTCCAGGGTACAAGTGAGATTCTCCTTGAGCTGAAGACCCCTCAAAGAGGTTCCACTCCTTTTACCTCCATCTTTAACAACTGACAGCTGACTGACAGTGGTTGCCTTCCCATGTGGTAGGGCTCCCCCCCAACCCCTTTGATCTGGGAAGGAGTTGATTAACACTTTCTTCCCCGTGCTGGGGAGTAGGGCAGGAAAGGGAGCAAGGTATGTACATTCCATATCAATCTTAACTCGCTGCTTCCATGATCAACATTTGAAGGTCTGATCCTGCTTCCACTGGACTCTGTGAGAGTTTTGCCATTAACTTCAATGGCAAGAGGATCAAACCCTTAGCATTTTCACTAAGTGGAGGAAAGGAAATCAAATTCTGGATTATCCCTGATGTAACAGAAATATTGAGAAACTAGAAGAAGTTTTTTTACTTGTATGTCCTCTTACACAGAATTTAGAATGGAGTATCAGCAGTGACAACCAGAAATGAGATAGTAGTCTTTTTAACTCATTAGAAAAAAAAAATCAAAGCAGATGCAAGAAATATAGATTTTCTACTACAATAACACAAAATGTACTCAGCTCTACCAAACCTAGTAAGTGACATTTTAATTTCCATGTGGCTAAGTGTTAGAAAAAATGCTGCATATATCATAGGAAACCAGGCATCAGTGGGATCAGTGACTGCTTGTCAGAATTTTCTAACGATGATGTTTAATTCAGATTTAGTTTAACAAGAATGGAGTCCTCCCGTCTTCTGACCCCCAAATCTGATTTGGTCACGTGTCATGGTGGGTCACCATGGTACAATAACCCGTTGAATGCTACACCGTGACACAGAGCCTGCAAATTGTCAGCTTACAGTTCCTGTGAGACCTTCTAAGGCCAGGAACCCCAATGAATTCAGCACGTTCACATGAGAACGAATGCCACCGTTCTTATTAAATTCTAACAGTCTAATGAAAAACACTCCTACTGCTTTCAAAGTGTGGAAAACGTAAAGTACCTCCTTGTGCTGCTGCTGCTAAGGGAGCAGATTTCTTCCCTGTCTCAGGAAAGCCATTCCCCTCCAGAATTGCACCTTTCCCTTCTTTTTTCCCAGCAGCAGTTGAATTGGAAGTTTCCATCTTAGATGCGCATATTCCAGCTCAGGAACCCTAAGAAACACAAACCAAAAACACATTTCTGTCACTTCTTGAACAAAAGAAGCAAAATGAGCCCCAGGAGGGAGAGCCCAATACATCATCACAATCCAAAAGCAAATTTAAAAAAACAACAAAGATCTCCCAAGTTTCTTTCCCTGGCAGCCTGGCTGCTATAATTATAACCAGAAAGGGTTTGGCTCTGCAAAGTGCTGAGTGCTCTCAATTCCCATTGATGTCATGGGAGCTGAAGAGGCTCAGGACCTCAAAGGATCAGTCCCATTTTTTTAATTAAAAGTTTTGACTGGACTTTATTTTGTGGGTTAGTATACAGTCAATCCAAAGAGGTGAACCTTTGTGCTCAATTACTCCCCACCCCCACACTATTTTTCAACCCGCTCGAATGATAATAAACAATAGGTACTCGAGACCCTATGCAACACTCAGGCAAAACTTCCATTGATTCTTGTCTGTTCAATTCGGGTTCTTATTTCATGCCCAAAGTCATATCTGAGAATCACATTTTTTTCTGAGTAAGGAGTGCGGAATTATGCAATTTAAGCCACAGCTTAAAGTACTGGATATCAAGCACAAGTGTATCTTTATTCATTTCTGTAAGACCCACTCCCATCCTTCCAAAACACTGGTTCTGTGTGAGAAAGAAAGGCTACTCCAATACAATCCTAAAGTGGGTTTCCCCTAGAGGCCCCAGCACATTTTCATTTCTGGTCCCTGTCCACATTAATATAGCTGAAGGCTTCCTAGCTTTATTTGAGACATGTCTATATAGTTCCTACTTTGGGAAAGGTGGAGGTGGGAGATACTGAAACCATTTGGTGCCTCCGTATTACTGGCCCTTCACTCAGGTCTTGAGAGAAATCACAGCAAGATCCCTCTTACATGTTTAATTGTAGTTTGTGTAAATTATCCAGCCTCAAAAATTTGCTGGAATACACAGGCTGCTTCAGTTACAGGAATTAACTGTATCAGCCAAAAAACTTCTGGGAAAGCGTGAGAGAACTTTTGGGTTGGAGTCAGTTTCACTGTAACAGCATCACTTCAATTTTTCTTCACTTTACATTGCGAGTAAAGATTTACAGAGTCCTGAACAGCTTTCATTAAAGAAAGAGTCCACATGCCTTGCAAACTTTTCTCCGTATAAAGATTCCAGGAACTCCCATTTGTTTTGTCTGATACATTTTACCCTTTGCTTGGCTGTAACGCAGATGTGAGCTCTTTTTTTCCCTTGCTACCTTGATGATTTTATTTTTATTTTAATGTTTTTATACCTTTAAAAAAATTAAAGAAAAAAAATCTCTCTCTCCTCTTGGATTAGTTTACTGTATTATAATGATTCTTATTATTTGTATTATTGTATCACCTTGGAGCTTCAGTCATGGACCTGGACCCCATTGGGCTTATTGCTAGTGCTTTTTTCACTGAGTTGCTTTCTGAGGCTTTGTCTACATTAGCATTTCTGTCGGTCGGGGTGTGAAAAAAACACCTCCCTGACCAACGTAAGGTTTACCAACAAAAGCGCCGGTGTGGACAGCGCTATGTCATCGGGAGATGCCAACATAGCTACTGCCACTTGTTGGGGGTGGTTTAATTATGCCGATGGGAGAGCTCTCTCCCGTTGGCATACAGCAGCTATACGGGACACCTTACAGCAGCACAGCTGCAGAGGTACAGCTGTGCCACTGTAGGTGTGTAGTGTAGACATAGCCTAAGGCCCCGATTCAGTGAAGCATCCCTAATTCAGAAAGGGCACTTAAGCACGTGGTTAACGATAATACTCACTTAAGTCCCATTGAAGTCACTGATTGGGACATAAGCAATTGTTGAAGGTTATCCTCATACTTAAGCATTGAAAAGGGCTGGAATGCTTTCTGAATCAGGATCTAAATAAAGGGTTTTGCAAAGACCCAGGGTATCCACACTACAATTGCTGCTGCAGGTATGCCAATGCAGTATAGGCACATACTATAATGACAGAAGGAGTTTTTCTCTTGCTGCAGTAAATCCAACTCCCAGTAGCTAGGTAAGAATTCTTTCATCAACCTAGCCGTATTTAAGGCATGAAACTTTTCACAGCCCTGAGCAACAAGGCTAAGTGGACCTAAGTTTGAGGTGTAGACCAGGCCCCAGTCAGCAGCATGAATAAGCCATTTCTTCCCCCCCCCCCCCGATATTGGTAATATTATGAGAAACCAAACAAACTGATTTAGTCTGACTGGTGTTTTTAAAGAGACAAGGGGGATGAGCTAATAATCTTTTATTGGACCAACTTCTGTTGGAGAGAGAGACAAGCTCTTCAACTCTGTGAAAACTCGAGAGCGCGTCTCTATCACCAACAAAAGTTGGTCCAATAAAAGATATCACCTCACCCACTTTGTCTCTCTAATATTCTGGGACCAACATGGCTACAACACCACTGCATACAGCAATGGTATTTTTTAAAGTCGGTGGGGTTCAGTGCAAAATACTAAGATGACCAGGCTTTGCAATCTTCATTGCTTAATTAGCAGAAAGCAAAAATAAACAAACTCTTGAGTGATCTAGAGAACTGACTCCTCGGTATCAGTTTCTAAACAATCAGCAAGGCTTCAGAGGGCAGGTTACATAGAGCATAGAAAAAAGCCGCAAGTCCTGTGCTGCCTCTATTAGAGCCACAGTGCAGAATCTCACCCATAGTAGTTATCTTTAAAAATAAAACAATCTCTTCAACTTTCCACATGGTCCTCTTCTCCCTCTACCGTTTCCCCAAGCTCTCTAGCAGTAGCCTCCTCTCTGTCCCCCATGCTGGTGCAAGAGCCTTCTCCTCTGCAGTTCCTGACTTCTGGAAGAGCTAGCCTATATTTCTTTGCCTCCTCCACTCTTCATGTATTTTAAAGTGCCAAGGGAAAAAGCACTTTTCTCCCTTCCCTCTACATTTTTTTCGTTTTCCTCTTGCTGTTTAAGTTCCCAGTTCTGCAAACACTTGTGCACGTGCTTGAGTTTAAGCACTTGAGTAGCCCCATTGAAGTCAATAAGACTAGTCTCACATTTACAGTTAAGCATGTGTGTCACAGGGCAACTGCACTGGTGGCACCCTCTTGCAGCTGGCCACAGCACAACATATGTGCCTGCCTCAGTTTCCCCTCAGTCCAGCCATAAAAACAGCCCAGTCTCGCTCACTGATACAGTCCTACATCTGGGCGTAGTTTATCATGTTCATGTGAAACACTCTTCAGAACGCACATGATACAAGCTATTCTCCTAATTCGCACAGTAAAACTTAGAAAAGTTCCATGGTTTTCCATTCCTCTCTTCAGGGACATCATTTTCAATCCACAAACCTGAGTCCACCAGCACTTGGTTCTCTGGTCTTTTCTGCCCTCATTCCAGAGTCCCGGTCTCCAGGCCAGCCACCTGAGAGTGACTAGTCTTCATGACTCTTCTACCCAAACACAGACTAACAACTCAGCCCTTTTCAGCATCCCAGCACTGGCTTTTAGCTAACTAGACCCACCACTAGCCTCCCAGTCCTAGCCAATTCCTACTTCTTCCAGAGAGGGCCTGAAGAATTATCCACTCACTGCAGACTGTCTCCCACAGGCAGCTTTCACCTGCCCTTTTCCTCACGTCTCCAGTCTGTGATCTCAGGTGGCTTTGACTCAGTAGGTCTCTCTCTGCCCTCTAGGTCCCAGGTGCCCTCTGTTAAGCCCAAATTGGAGCGGTGGGGGGAATCAGCTGACTACCACAGGTGCACTGGCCTCTTCCCTCTTAAAGGGTCCATGTCACCCCCTGTGACAATGTGTTTGCAGTACCAGAGTGTAACTTTGTGGATGCACTGTTTTAACTCAAAAGTGTTTTCTGTGAGTTTTTCTGTAAGAGTGACACAATTTTGCTGGCAAAAAAATTGCATGTGCAGTTAAATTCAGTAGAACAGCTAAGTTGCAGATTTGTAGGCTCAACCTGTAGATGCAAAAATGGAAGCCAACATTTGAAATGATGTGATATACAATTATAAGCTTGACTGATCACATCTGAACTGCGCAAGTACCTATGCAGCACTAACTAGGCCCCGTAAGTCCTGTCCACGCACGCACTGGGCTCAATGGCAAACATGGAATAGGTTCATTGGGGCCAAGATTTACAACAATTTAATCTAGAAATTACTTTGGGTTACAGATGATGTATGAAATAAATACACTCAATCGAAGGAGTGTTTGACCTAGGTCTGACATTCTGGGCTTCTGTTCACTAAGCAAATAAACATCAGAGGCTAAATTATTAGTCTGCCACCTGTTTCTTCTTAGCCCCTCCTTTCAAGGTTTTCCACTTTTGTTTGAAATCTGACCCCTCCTCTCCCCTCAGGGCTCACTGTGTCCACGGAGCTGCAAAGTTGCTCTTTGTTTCGGATGTTACACAACACTATTATGTTTAGTAAAAAAAGAATTCTTCTTGCAAAGGAACTTATTTCCACGGTGGATGTGAAGATTATGGCCAACATTTTCTAACGTGGGTGCCTCAAGTCAGTAATCTAGATCCATATTTTAGGCATCTAAATAAGTGGCCTGCTTTTCCAAAGTATTGTACCCACAACTCAAATCAACAGAAGATGTGGGAGACTTGGGCAACTTTCACCTAGGTGCCTAAAGATTTAGAGGCCTAATTTTAGGCACTTGGGATTGAAAATTATGTCTAGAAGGGCCAATTTTCAAAAACAGCTAAGGGTTATAGAAGCACAAGTCCTGTTGGCTTTCAATGAGACTTGTGCTCATAAATGCCTTTGGTGCTTTTGTAATCTCAGTCGGCATCGATAACGTAATTAGCCCCTAACAAGAATATTTCTGTGTCCTGGAAGTGCAGTAAAGTTAATAATCAAGAATATTAATGCTCTTAGGCTTCTCTGCTTCAGTGTGTCTTGAAAATTTAGACATTTCAGGCTACATTTTCAACAGTGATTAGTAATTTGGGGAGCCTCAGGAGTAGGGTGCCCAGCCTGAGATACTGTGAAGCAGCCTGCTTTT